AAGGAGTTTTAATTTGGTTTTCATTGAGCGTTTTGCATCGCGTAGCTTAATAGTTCTCTCTCGCGTAAGCTCCTTAATCCGTACCTTTCCAAACATTTTCGAAGGTATTTTGAGCATTCAGCTAAGCCCTAACATGCTTCAGTGGCGGTGGCCCGTCTAGCTCCCCTACTGGGCAGAGGCTGGGCAGTTCCCTGACGACCAGAATCGCTGTGACCGTTTCGCGGAGCAGGCGTAGTTACGCTGCCGCGTTGCTCCCTCTCCTATCTCTGGGACGACTTACACACTCTATTAGTCTTTCTATTGGAAAGGGAGCGGTTGTGGTTGTTCACCTGCTTATCGTTCACCAATTTCAGTCCTCTGATATGTCACATATTCTCAATGAATGGTGTAAGATGCCTAATATCACTATGGAAATGGACCGAGGCGGAAAGGATGACACATCTCAGACAGCGAATTAAAGGCCTAATTTTTGACAGGTTCGTCATCCTTCTGCTGTAACTTTGGAGTATGACCTATACCTCAGTGCCTCGTGTAGTTCGAACATGACTTTTCCCTTTTTTAGTGCTCCCGCTCGTACGAGGGCTGGCCCGGATTCTCTTGCTGTGGTCCTCTCCACACCGCCCATGGAAGGGCTTAGCTGGGTTAGCACGGAGACCAGACGCAAAATGATTATGCTGGGATTCAACCTCAGAAAAGCTATGGTTAGTTTCCATTCTATTATGCATTGCGCCTCTAACATAATTGTTTTCCAGGCAAATTCAATCAGTGCAATGGTACCGTCCCTTCGGCCTCATCTTTCGATGTTCTATTACTTGAAAGAGTGTGCGGATCTTCCAAATTCACAGCTTTTCCTTTATTCCAAGGAAGACAAACTAGTCCAATACCAGTAAGTTGACGTATACTAGAGTCAATGCTGGCAGTTTCAAAGGCAGTAAAATAGCAAAATTGTTATATGGTGTACTATTCGCTTGCGCAATGCTTACTGGATGTATAGATGGTCTTGACAGGGCAGACTAATTTTTTTCAGAGCGTATCTTAGTCATTGTCTGTATTCGACTACCTGCGGAAATCTCCCTAAACTGAAAAACTGGCTGTTGTTCGGTCGGGTATTTTATAAAACAGTAGGGTGGAGCTATCACAATGATAACGTCCCCATTTGTACTAGCGTACGTTTTCTCTTATCACTGCTCTTATCACAGCCGCTGATATCAAAGATATTTTGCCGATGAATAGTAGAATGGTGTGTAGCAAAACAATCGTCCGGACATGGTATGGGACCTGGCGACCTATTTCGTAACGCCTGCTGTGTTCGATGAGCAGTGTATTCCCAGTTCTTCCCCGAATATCATACATCGCGTTCGTAGCCGGATTGTCTTTACATTTACCACCTTAAATGACGAGCCTTCTCGGATTGACAGATAGCCATACATTTTTGGAGCGACCTCGCAGTCGTATCGCGGCGCGCGCAACGCGATTGTCTTGCAGGTCTCCCCTGGCAAGCGGATCCGCTGACTTACAGGCTGAAGCTTCAGGTTCGTTTGGCGGGTTGTTGTAGGTAGTGTTGTGTTATACACCTGACAGATAGATTTCTGCATCGCGTTTTCTGAGGGTTTCGTGGTGACGTCTTACGAACACAAGTTAGTGTAAGGCATCTGACTGTATTTCCTTTCTTCTGATAGATTCCACTTTTTCCTTCTTATCGCGAATGAGCACCCTTACGTGGTGGAAGGTCTTAGTTTTACCTACCTGGTCAAGGTCTTTTTTCAAATATTGAAAAGTAGAACATTCAGTTTTGAACTGAGAGTTAGTGACAGTTTCTGTGAAACTTTTTTTAGATATGTGAAAAAATTCTTGGAGTATCAGAAGAGTATGGGGCGAGATGTTGTCGACGTTATGTTTGCAAATTCTGACCATGTCCAGCACTACCGCACTCATCCGGAGCAATATCGTTCTACTTGTATAGAGTTCTTGAAGAAAATAGAGAAATCCCTGGAACATTCACATTGAAAGATGTTGGCAGCGTTCCAAGTTCAATTGGTGTGGTTTTGTGGCTGCGCCTAGAATGTAAATGGTGTACATTATTGTTGCTATAAGAACGTTACCGGTAGATGACGTATGAGGAATTACTCGATAGGTTTCTGCTTCAGTAATTAGGTGAGAATTTTATGATTCATGAGACGATCATTCTTTGTGATGGATTGCACTGCGTTATGCTACTATTGTTTTCAAATTGAGATCGGTCCATTACTCCAACTGTTTTATTTTTTAAGTTAACCGGTCAACTGTGAGGGCAAATTAAAAATGTTGGACGATGCCTTAGGCTGCATTCATACTTCGCGGCAGTGTCCACCAGCCACAACCAGCGTGTCGAGCGTCCGTCGACGCCAGTGACTAGGAAAGTGTAAATATCGTTCTAGCGAACGCCAACATCCACCACCGTCCAGGCTTGGAAAGTATTGGGATGTAGGAGGGAAGCAGGCTGCTGGCAGAGTATGGGAAGCAGGAGGATAGCAGCCTACTGGGCTACTGGACTACTGGATTAGGCGTCCTAACATTCCGGCATGTAGCCGCACCACACCTCCAGTAGGTTGCTACCCTCCTGCTTCCCATACTGTGCCAGCAGTCTGCTGTCACCCTTCTATTTACCAATTTTTCCACGGACAGTAGTGGGATGCTGGCGTTTGCTAGCTTGATATCTACATTTTCCTAGTCGCTGGTGGACGCAGGGACGTTGGTGGAGGCTAGGGGACTTTACCATTCGCTGGAATGATATCTATACTTTCCTAGTCGTTGGCACTGACGGACGCTTGAACCGCTGGTTGTGGCTGGTGGACGCCTCCGCAAAGTATGAACCTGGCCTTAGCATCACCTCGTCGTGCTCTTGATTTGCCTGTTTATGTGCGTGTAGCCAGTACGCATAGTATTTGTTTTTATATTCTCATATTAGTTCTTGCATATTAGTTCTACTGATTTTCCTCTCATGTTGCCATGTAACTAGTCTTTAACATCCCGGTCTATTTGATTCGTAAATGGCGTGAACGCCTTAATGCCTCGTCATTTTCTAGATATCTTGAAGCCGGTTCTCTATTCCTGTACGTTTTGAGACTGCTTGCTGTTCGTTAGGCCATTGTGAGCAGTCAGAATGCGCTACTCATTATGCTGCTCTTACTCTGTCTCAGGATTTCCTGCAGGTCTATGTTAGCGTGCACTTCACATGAATAATATAGATGTGAAATGGCGCAGATGTAGCTCTGCAGGCGTCCTGCCGTTTTCCGAATGGGTTATTGATTGAAGTATTTTCGGCATTGTTTGAAGTTGCATGTAATCAGAATATACCTCGTAAAAATAATGCGTATTTGACTGAGAAATGGGTGTCCATACACCGACTGTACCTACCGTCTGAAAACAGGAGGCGTGGTCACTCGTTTGTGGTATCAAGTTGCCTTTATTTCTTCAGTCAATCATTTTCCGAAGGGCCTTGGCATGACGTCACTAGGTGACGGTCAGGAAATTCATGTCCGGTGTTGTGGGGGATGAATGTCATGTGGATCGGTCTACAAGAGTTTATTGACGAGACGGAGTGGTCTCATCAATAAAGGTTGTATTAATAAAGGTAATAATAAGTGGTAGGAGTTGCGATGGAATATATGTAATGTAGATGAGACCCAGGGAGATGACTCTCTTAATCTGAAAGGCTCCAGCAGTTCGAGACGAGGTGGTCTCTGTGCTGAATGTGGTAGAATGCTATCTAAAACTCTCATTCTAGGCGAGGTCACGCTCTGAGTACCTAATGATGATCTGATGAAAGTATCTGATGAAATACCTACGGATCATAATCATGTGTCTCAATGGTATCTATGGGTTACACCTAACAATGAGTGCTTCAGATGCACCGCAGGTCTGATGGAAATCTAGAACAGTGGCATGGCCAGTACGGGTCGGGCGTACATTGTTGATTCCGCTTAAAAACGAGCAGAGTATGCTCTAGTTCGCCGCGGATGAAGGGGTGTGTCAGGCAGTATAAGTGTGCCACAGCATCCAATCCGTTTTCTGCCAGGACGGGAACGGCATATGCGACAACAATTAGTGGAAAACGACTCATACAAACGATATGATACAGCTTGTTACTTGCTTGCTTCAACAGCTGGTAGAGAACGGGTTTGACAGCGCGCCAAAGTCATCCAGCCTGACCGCCCTCCGTCCGCGCACTCTATATTTACTGGCTGGATGAATTGACACATATAGCACTGTCGCGTTGAACCGATTTGGTCTCGTTGCGTGAGGTACGCACGAAACCTCTCCTATAAGGCTTCTTTTGCTGCCTTAGCGCAAGCTGGAACCAACAATGTGCACCGTACGGGTCACTACGGAGATAAGTAATCGCGTCGTCGCGCGCGGTGATCTAGTTTTTGCACAAAGCCGCAGTTTCCACGGCGTAAGAGTTCTGCGAAAGTGGTCATGGAAAGCTCATGCCAAGGGATAGTAAGTAGTTTGAATATTGCGCTTTCCCAGAGGATTTCAAGCTTTGTTGTAGTCGTGGAGCACCTTACTCGAATTGCCGTCCTCCATCGCACGATGCGCCGCATGCGATGCACAGCAAGTTCCGATTGTCTTGACCGCCTCCCATCCCATTGTCTTGATAAACCAAACACAGGCAGCAAAAATCTGTTCAGAATAAGGTCAGCTGAATAAGGAGTTCGAGCACGTGAAAAGCGTTCCCTCATTTGTTTAAGGATTTTTACATGGTGAAGTAGCGCTAGTCTTTACTGAAGGAAGTCTATCAGATTCTCCCACGCTCCATATCCCGTAGATGGACAGGGCGTGGCTACGCTCTCAATTTTAATATGGGAAGGATGTTTTCCGTTAGACACTTCCATTTCAGACAGCTGTGTTCTTGTCTTGTGCTGCTCAAATACATGATTGCAGTTGTTCCAAAATGAATACATCCGACCAGACGCGCAGCCGCCGATACGCCCAACAGTGACAACTTTGCAGCCAATGCCCACCCCATTCCGAATATGGAGCTTGTATAAGGCCAACACAACTGAAAGTATTTGAAGAAACGAGAGAATAGCGAGAAGCCAAGGCAAGAGATGAGAGAACAGGGGCGGATATAGGAGCGGCAGTAAAGGTCGGTCGTCTCTCTCACAAACTGAAGCTCTTCTTTGACTGCTCTCGTAACGTTAGTCACGCGTCAGCGCAAGGTCTGCTGCTCCTGTTAGACGTCACTGCATCTTCTGCCGTGGCATTCACTTAGGTCCTTCTAGATGATGTCACTCCATCTTTTCTTCAGAGCTCCTCGTGGTCGCTTGCCCTGTACTTCGAATTCCAGTGCTGGTCTTCAGGCCTCCTCAGCCTTGTGCCCATACCGTCCTGCTCTTGTGCCGTCAGCCGGGTCGGAGCCGTCTTTGTAACTGCCCCGGCGTCCTCATTTCTAATTATGTTTAGTCGCGTCCAGCCGCAGGCCATCTCAGCGATGACCCTGCACTCAGCCGAGTGGAGCTGCCTTTCACGGTTCCTTGCCATGCGGTCCAGCACTCGCTTTCGTTATGAGCGTCGGCGCAAACCGTACGACTGCCGAGGTGACATGCTTGCTGTTTGAGCGTTTTTGAGCAATGTCGGTCGAATGCCTTTGGACTCCCTCCATTTCATCCAGTTCAGCTGATTTGAGCCTTTACCGCCTGGTCCACGCTTCCATCAGCTGTTATATCGCTCCCCAAGTACTGTATTTCTTTACCCTTTCGATACTTTCGCCGTGGCGGTGCACGACGGTTCGCTGCACCCTTCAGAGCTCACGAACGCTCTTCTTCACATTCAGCCGGAGTCCTTTCTCTAGCGAGTCAAGTTCTGCCTTCGCCTACACCTTACCCTAAAGTTCTTCCCTGCTATCTATAATGGCAATGTCGCTAAGGTAGAGGACTCCGGAACCCTTCCATGGACTCTCTTGAAGTGACATTCCACAGCAAGGAGGCACGAGGAACGGGTTGAGGGCTGATCCTTGGTGTACTCCCGTGATGTCTGTACTCTTTGCCAAACGGCTACCTGCCGAGAGGTACGTACAGCTGCCTAAACCTAATCGTACATGCTCCTTCATTAAAAGGTGCTGCAGATTGCTAAGTCGTGGGCCGTGGCTAGGTCAAGGATCCGTTCTCCCTCAGCGTTCCTTACTCCTATTCCTTGTCATCGCGTTGCAACCCTTTCGTCCGCTTCTTCACTTCCCACATGGCCATCCCAGCTATGGCTGAAAAGTCATCTTCCGTAACCGATCTTATGCCCTCGTCCACGATCGGTTGAAATCATCCTTCTCCAACTCGGAACAACCGCATTAGGTTGCGTATACGGTATACGGTCAGTACTGTCCAGTACCTCTTCCTCGTGTCTATTCTGACTCCACGCTCAGGGTCCCAGTTCGAACTAGTTTCTGTGGCCGAGGTCGTTCACTTCTCGGTAGCCATTGCATAGTGACTGCAGAACTGGAACGCGAGGGGTTTTTACGCCAGTCTTTCATAGCCTTAACACTGATACTTTGCGACTTGTCGTCAATGCAGCAGAGGGGTTCTTCACCAACCGGCCTGTCAACCTGGACCTGACGCTGGTATCGACTATTCTTGCAATGTTCGCAGAGGCATGGTTGTCTCGGCAAGGATTGAATTCGTGGCTCAGAGTACAGCCATTAGTCCTACACACTTAACCACTTGGCTACCCCTGCTTGTTCTCAGAGAATGAACACAAATCATCATATTTGTGTTTACTGATATACTGGCATATTTCGTCCTCAGATGGGTGGGACATCTTCCACGTGTAGCGTTCCTTCGGCTTATAATGACCTCAACGTCTTCGTCACACACGAGTAAGCCTTAAAGCTGGGACAACCTTTGATACTGTAGACCGGATTACTTATGTGGGTCAAGTAACTGCTAAGGTTTGGTCTCAGCAGGTGCCAGCGGAGTTGGCTCTCTCCCTAACTGCTCCCATCCTCCAGTACGACTGATACAGAACGACTTTCTTGGTGGGGTAGTTTTGTCTAGCGAGGCTAGCTCTCCGGCGCTGCGCCACCTTCCCCCTCTTCATAATGCTTTACTGGTATCTATCATTATCCAGTTTGTGGGTATGCTCTCAAATTTGTTTCAACGTCTTATCATTTTGTCGCATATCATGGGCACACCAGAAACAGAGCTTCTCTGCATGATTCCAGGCTATGCTGAATTCGCGAAAAGCTGTTAGTGTGCTTATGGAGCCGGCTTCCCGCTCTACCAATTACCCATTACTCATCGAAGAATACAACGATACTGCTGCTAGGATGGGCAGCGGCGCGAGATGAACACCTCTCGAAATACGCCGAGATTTATGGAAAAGAAGGGTAACTGCTAAGTGTAGCCTACTGAGACTAACTTTACTTGATGATTCAGATTTACGACATTGCGATTCACCAGCCCATTTACAGGTCATCGGCGAAGTCTGAAAGTAGGGACCATTACTTTTGAGCACCTTTGATCATCCACTTCCATTTATTGCAGTAGTGTTTCTTAAGTATTCGAGAGATGTTTCCGGTGTCGTTGACAATTTGCGATTGGTTCTTGAGCGGGCCGATAATCGGCTAGCATTGCATCTATTTAGTATGAATGCCATCTATACAGTGTGCGCCCTGATGCTACAATATCCAGAGCTGAATGTGCTTGGAAGAAGTGATGGGATAGTCTTCGACAGGTATTCTACTTTCATACTTTGCTCTCTCTTTAAGGGCTTTATTTTGTTGCAGTTGTCCTGTGATTTTCGACGAATCAAGTCCAAGGAGCTTTACTAATCTTGCGGACGCCTTTGCGAAATCAACGCTAAAAAACGCGACGCTCACCGCTCGCATACAGTTCTTGTTGTGGAGGACCTACTTCATATTGGCAGTGCGTATGTTTATAGCGGAGGTTTGTAGTTTCCTGTCGTTTCTGATTTGCATAATCGAGAACGAAACCGTAACTTGTTATGTATCTGTAACTCAAACAGGGTTTCTTTCAGCAATTTGCTCGCTCTCTTATGGGGGTGAGTCTGACGAATTTCACCCCATATCACTTCATTCGGGACCATCCTTCCATGCCTCGGAATTTATCATTCGTTTATTCCGACAAGGACACGATTTGTCCACCAAAGTATGTTTCCTTTCGTTGTTGGTTGTTAAAGAAGGGCAATTACGCCCACTACCTGGTATTTCGTATGGAATACATCTTGCCTTTCGTACACACTAGAGTTCACCGTTTTTCGATTGCAGAAGGTGAGAAACAAGTACGAGACTGTGTCCTAACCACCCACATCACTCATATTCTTATTGAAACCTTCTGTCACTAAGTCGCTTTGACGGCATTCATACTTCGCGACTGAAGATTGGGGGATTTAGACGGGTGGTATAGGTAACCGATCTGGCGATTGGAATGATTGTGCTTGTTGCAGACTATACATGCCCAGGCGTTGCCGGGAGACTTCGTACCGTTACGCGTACGCGCGCCTCATTCCGAAAGCGCTTCAAAGGGTGGGTGCGGCGCATAGGCGCGGAGTAACTCACTGCCGGCATTATGATCTCTTGGCAGAATTTCTCCGCCACGACACTTGAAATTAATGTCTGGGTTGAGCCTTCAGCTGCCTCTTCCTGGAGCATAGCACAGGCACGTTGTTGGCTCGCGGGACTTCGGGGAGACTTCGGAACACCTGGTGATATGTCATCTCTGTGGCGCGCCGCGAATCGCCAAGGACCAGTCTTCCCTTTTCTTGGTCCTGGCCAGTTAGCTGTCCTCGTTGGCGTGTTTCCTACTACCAAACTAACAGATGTTACCACTTTTCCCATGGCTTTATTCGCGGTCGTAGTCCACGAAAGCAATAAAGTCGGGTAAATTTCGCTTACGTTTTTTGATAGGTGCGTGGGCGCTTGTCTCTCAGCGGGTTGAAAGGAAAGCGTTGGCAGCCCCCGCCCCAGGTTTCCCAACTTGAACCCCCGGGGTCAAATAGGTTTCGAACATGGCGAAATCGACACCTGAAACCATCTGCTCTTCGCGTATCTCCCCCCAGTCTCTCCGGAGTACCGGGTTTACGCAAAATCGCCGGGCTCCACTTGTCCAGACTAGTTATGAACTGTCGCGCTTGAACGGCAGCGTTGATTTTCCGCTTCAGGTTGTCCGACTGCGTCGCCGTTGTCATTAAACACGCTACAATTACAAGCGCGCTCCAATTGTACTAGACCCCAGTTTCCCTTTATGTTCTTTCGTCCGGTATTCAAATCCTTTTTCACTGTTTCTCACTTCTACCTGATTCTTAGCCCCTCTTCTACATTTTGAACATGAATTTTAATGTAGTTTTGGTAGCAGGACCACCTGTGATAATCGTTTTTGCTTAGTTTCAAAAAAAAATCGTCGTCAAAAAAACGTCAAACCTTAGAATAAATTCAATGTCAAAGTGAAAAAGAAGGCACAAAGCCTGAAATCCAGGTAGAAATTAGATAATAAAACGTGAAAAGGGGTCAATTTATTCTCGGAAAGAAACATAAAGAGAATCTGGGTCTGGTATCAGTTTCAGCGCGACTTTATAAATTGTACCATGCTTCAATTACAACGACACGCGACACTGAACTACCGCGCGTGCATCAACGCCGTTCAGGCGCGAGCAAGACAAGAAGCTAATTTCAAGGGTATTACGCCCAGGTACCGGTAACCCAAGACCCGCCCTTTACTAAACAGCGCCCTCTGTACAGTTGAAGGCGCGTCAGCCGGACGGTGGAGGCGTTCGCCTGACGAACCCAATCCGCCGGCGAGCGTCCCGTTGATTCTGCGCGCGATCGGAAAGGCCGAGAAAATTCCGAAATCATTCACATTGCCCCTATGCGTCTCTGACACTGATCCTGCGCTCTAACACACCCGCCGCGCCCATCTTCTCAACTCTCTATTACCGTTGACTCTCGCCGATCGATGGTTGCTGACGCTACCAATCAGCTGATTTGTGCGGTAATTTTTGTTGTTTTCTCGCAATATTCGTCTTGTAAAAGCTGAATTATTCTAGTTTCAGCTTCAATTTTCGGAGGTGAGTATGTTTCCCGAAATTAGATTAGATTCTGCAAGAATTTAGCATGAAACTCCCTTAGAAAACTTTGTTTCTTTCTTTTCGCATTTTTTTTCTGAATGTCTTCGTTTACTGCTAATGCGTTACCTGGCTAAAAATCAAGCAGATAAAATCTAGCTTCATTAAAACATACTCACCTTTTCTTCTTAAAGCTGCACGAAGAATTATTTCAGCTTCTCGAAGCTGAAAACAATAGAAATCGGTTTAATTGGCGTATCAGTCATTATCGATCGGGGCGGCGTCGGAAGGCTTGCCAACGTGGACCAAGGACCGCCCCACCGTCCGATGAGAACTCGACTGTAGGTCTGTCGTAGGCGCGCTAAAAACATCAGCACGGACGCTGAAACTACGCTGATGATTTCGGGTGAAAGAAAACGGAAGAGCGTTTCGGATGTCGTTATGAGGACTTCGATGATGAGGACGGGCCTGATTCTACTTCCTTATCCTTGCTTCAAGCACTTTGGCGGTGCTGCACGCTTGATGCTAACCATGTGGATAGAGACGGCTTTCCAAGTTCGCTGTAGTAAACAATAAATTGAGGTGGTACTGCGTTCGAATTATTAGCCTCATCGCCTCGAAAGGTGGAACAGGTGGTACTTGCATGTAGTTGGTCACGTTCTCAACTACGACTTTTCAACCTAGGAATAATTTTTTCACAAAACCTAGCTACATTAGTGAAATCATGCTCCGAAGTAGAACAAACATTTACTGTGTAAACTAGAGGGCCAAAGTTGAGACGGGCCTGCTTAGGCACATTCCGGGACTTCCGGGACTTTGCACAGGCCCGCAAAGTTATGAGGGAGTTCTGTTGAAAACTTGCCATCAAAAACGTCCTAGGAGTATTTGGTACTGTCAGTCACTAGCCTGACCCTGAAAATTCTTGTAAGCACTAAGAACCAAGTGTTTATACTCGAGATCCACGATTACCTCTGCAATCTAACAACCAGCTGTAGCGAACTGAGTCCGACTATGTATAGTTGCACCAGAACTGAGTCCGAACTGTAGTCGCACAAAACTGGCGCCATCTGGTACCGTCACGAAAAACACGTCAGTGGTCAGATACTACTTTTTACGTCTGGCTGTGATAGTGGCGTTTTCGCTTTTGCAATCACTACGCGTGCGGTGGAATTTCATGGAATAAGTTGGGAAAGCACTTGTAAAAGAATTCTTCTGGTCTGGAGTAAGTTGAAGTAATTCGGCTCTTTATATTCATGTAATTATTCTCCAATTGCAAATAGTTAGAAAGAAGCGTTGTGAGCCTTATGAATTCTCTTACGCTGCGCACATGTCAAACTCAGGACCTCTATGTCGAGACGAAGGAATTCATAAGTGGAAATGTGCACGAAATACCTGCTAATCCTCGAACACATCAGTATATGCATGCATTTCCGCACAATTAGCGGCGTAAAGTTCGGTGTTGTACGTCCACTGTGGTTACGGTACCGTGGCGGTAATACTGAATTTAGCTTCTTGTCGTGACAAGTGTGAACGCTACGACGCCTCCTTTGAGATTCGATTTCTTTCTGCGCCACACATTTTCGGTTTCCACCTAGGTTCGTGGAGGCGTTCGATGGCCTCTGATCTCAGATTCCTGACTTTTTTTTAAAATTAGACTCGAATGGGAAACAGTTGATGTTGAAAGTAGCGTTCTTGTCTCTGAAGGAAAGCAGTTTCGACATGAGTTGGGCGGGTAGGAGGGAATGTAAGGTTACTTGATCTCGCCGTTTTGGTGTCTCCAAAGTGTGGGGCAAAAATGGTATTGCTTTCATTATGTTCTCACCCCTAGTGAGAGACTGCGAAAGCAATAACTTCCATATTATATATTCCAAGGGTTATAGATCAAACTGCCTGCACTTTTTTTTACACCCTTGTTTAAAATGTTCCCGAGCGTTGGTGAGGAGTGGAAATTTTTGCTTTTTCATTTAGGACAATCTGCGAATTCCATCACCATATGGCCAAGTCAGGGCGGAATGTAGACGTTTTGCGGTTGACAGACTCAGACCATGTCGAGCATTTCAAGAAATACCCAGTCGATTACTGTGCTGTCATCCACCGATTTCTCTCTTCACTGGAACAACGACAGTGAGGTGTAGCGTCCTGTAGAGTTTCTGGTTTTGTTAGGTTTAGGAGAACCTTGCCAATGAACGGACTGTGTAACTGCCTCTCGCTTGCTCATTTCTGTATAGCTTTGAAGAATAAATAATTAAGAGCGAAGCTATGCTATAACTATTTCGGTTGTTCAGCTTATTCAGTAGGGATCCGCATCGTCTCACAGTGCTACACACATCCTGCTGCAAAAATACATTCGTCATCCGGGCACTTGATTAGGCGGCCAAAGGGTCGCGACGCGGCTGCGGCTCGTCACGACCGCGGCGATCAACTGTTTCCAGCCTGGTTTAGCCATTTTCTCCCTAATTTTCACTGTATTTTCTATTTTTTTCAAGGTAAGTTGTGTTATTGCCTTTATGAAGTGTATTAGGACGTGGACTCTTTTTTCGTTTCTGTCATGAAGTATTTTTCCTGTTTTTTTAGGTATTTGTTCAAATGTTTGTTTAAAGACACATGGTACGCTCAAACACATTGAGGGTGTATGAGACTATCAGCCCCCAGCTGTCGATGTGTCGTGGTCCCCCCGCCCAAACATGCCCAGGAATGGAGATACAGGACCGTGAAACACGCT